CTAGAAGATAACACAGGAGAAAATTTAGATGACCTTGGTATGATAATGCATTTTTACATACGACATTAAAAACACAACTCAGGAAAGAAAAAAAACGTTAACATTAAAATCTACTTCTCTGTGAAAGACACTGTTAAGAACATGAACAGACAAGCCAAAGACAGGGAGAAAATGTTTGAAAAACATATCTCTGATAAGGCCTTATAGCCAAAATATACAAAGACTTCTTAAAAATCCAGTAATAAGAAAATAAACAACTCCATTAAGAAGTGGACAACAGGTCTGAACAGAAACCTCTGCAAAGGGGATACACAAAAGGCAAATGGACATGTGAAAAGATATCATCAAGGATTTACAATTTAAAACAAGATACTACTACATGCCTATTTTCATAAACTGCCAAAAAATCCCAAACACTGACAACACCAAATGCTGAAGAAAATGTGGAGCAAAGGACCTCTCATTCATTACTGGAGGGAAAGTAAAATGGTATGATTTGGGAGGAAATTCTGGCAGTTTCTTACAAAACTAAACATACTCTTATATGTGATCCATCAATTGCACGTCCTTGGTATTTACCCCAATGTATGAAAAACATATGTCCACACAAAAACCTGCACATGAATATTTATAGCAGCTTTATTTATAATTATCAAAATGTGGAAGCAATGAAGATGTCTTTCATTAGACGAAGGAATAAACGGTGGTACATATATAACATGGAATCTTATTCAGCACCTAAAAAGAATGAGCTATTAAGACACAAAAAGACATGTATGGAACTTAAAAACATATTGTTAAGTGACTGAAAAGTCCTTAGTGGCTGAAAACTCCTTATACTCTATAATTCCAACTATATGCCATTCTTTGAAAGTCAAAACCATGGCGACAGTAAAAAGAACAGTCAGGGAATCAGATGGGAAGCAGAGAGAGAGGTAAGGAATGAGTAAATAGATCACAGGGGATTTTTAGGACAGTGAAACTCTTCCGTATATGTGTGTAATACTGTTATGGTAGATACGCATCATTATACCTTTGTCAAGTACCATAGAGTGTACCATACAAAAAGTGAAGCTTAATGTAAATAGACTTTAGCTAATAAAGTATCAATATTGGTTAGTCAATTGTAACAAGTGTATCTCACCATTGAAGATGTTAATAAGGGAAACAGGCGGACTGCAATGGTATATGGAAAATATTTCACTTTCTGCCCGGTTTTATGTAAAGCTAAAACTGCTCTAAAATAAAATCTATCCCTAACAATGAAAAATAAATAAATAAAAATAAAGTCTATTAATTTTTTTTTTATTTTTGGGAATTCATTGAGGGTACAAAGATCCAGCCTACACTAATTGCATTTGTCAAGCAAAGACCCTCCTATAAATGTGTTCCTCCTCCAAGAGCTGTGCCAAACACTGTAACCTCCCACCCCCCCTTCCCTCTCTGCGCTCTCCCAGTCCCACCTCCCACCATGTACGAGCATCAGTTGTTCTCATTCCAAAATTGAGTACAAGGGACTTCTTCCTTCTCCGTTCTTGTTTGTAGTCCCACCAGCAGTGTAAAACTGTTCCTCTCTCTCCACATCCAAGCAAGTATATGCAGCTTTGAGACTTTGTGATGTAGGCCATTCTCAGTGGAGTTAGGTGATATCTCAGAGCGGTTTTGATTTGCACTTCTCTAATAATTACGGATGATGAGCATTTTCTCATATGTTTGTTAGCCATTTGTCTGTCTTCTTTAGAAAGGGTTCCATTCATCTTTCTTTCCCATTGATGTAAGGGATTGTTGGCTCTTTGTATGTTGCTTAGTTTGAGTTCTCTGTAGATCCTATTAATTTTTTAAAAACTTGATGAATAAAGAAATGAAGTACTTTAACTTGGACTTCATTTAGTAAGTGTTACAATTTGGATATATCCATTACCTAATGCTCAGGAGCCTGGAAAAATGGTAAAAAAAAAA